AACCACTGAACCCCTAAACCCCGAAACCCAAAACCCTAAACTCTAAAATCTAACCTCTACACCACAAACCCCAAACCCTAAACTAAACCCTAAACCCTAAACCCAAAACTCTAAACCCCAAGCCCTAGACCCCAAACCCTTAACTCTAAACCCTAAACCCCAGAACTCTAAACCCCAAACCCTAAGCCGTAAACTCTAAACCCTAGACTCTAAACCCTAAACTCTAAACTGCTCTAAGCTTGACAGCCGAGGTTCCCCTGGAGATCGTGCTGAACTCCCACTCTAAGCGGAAGACGTCCACGGCGGTGTCCTACTTTGAGGCGATCTTTAGGGTTTAGGGTTTAGGGCTACTGCTCACTTCTAGGCTCAAGGGACTTAGTAAGCAGGGGTTGCATTTGGGGCCATAAGTGCATGAAGTAGGGTTGTCTTAATTATGACCTTACTGACTTACTAAGTCCCATGAGCCTGTAGTATCGGGTTACTGCGTGGTAGTAGAGCATGTAACTTTTGACTTGTTTTGTTTATAGTAGATCCCCTAGCACAATCCAGAAGGTTATCTACCCTCCCTAAACCCGAAACCATGAACCCTAGACGCTGACCTTCTTTAGGGGTTTTGTGTAGGGTTTAGGGCTTGGGGTGACCTTCAGTTCTCCCTAAGAGCTGGGCAAGAAACCAAAGTTTCGGACGTTTGCTGCAGGGTTCAGTGTTTAGGGCTTGGGGTTCAGGGTTTAGGGTTTAGGGGTTTGGGGTTTTAGGTTCAGGGTTTATGTTACCCTAAACCGTACTTGAACCCTAAACCCTAATCCCTAAACCCTTTTCACTCCCATGTTTGCAGCTCTGCGAAGCGGGGGTTCGGGCTCCTGAGGGCACCGGAACGGTGGCAGCACTACCCCATCTCTGAATTTCTGAGCGCCCCAAAACACTACAACCAGAGAGCCGAATACCCCAAAATAATATACTTTAAACTCTACTATAAGGGTCTTCATATTCTGATTCTAGCTAGATTCCTTAACTTAAGGGGTCTTAAACCCTGTAAACACCTTGACGGAGGCCTTACAGGAACCCTAACTTAAGGTACCCTAAACCCTAAACCCTAAACCCTAAACCCTAAACCCTAAACCCGCTCTGTGGGGAAGCCTTCAACCTGCAGCTCCCAAACCTTGAAACCTGCACACGAGACTCTGCAACTGGGGTTTAGGGACTCTTTAGGGTTTAGAGTTTAGGGTTTAGGGTTTAGGGTTTAGGGTTTAGGGTTTGGGGTTTAGGGTTTAGGGTTTAGGGTTCCTTATTGTAACTTTATAAGGGTTTAGGGTAATTTAAGGGTATGGTACGGGCTTAGGGTCTAGCAATTAGTTTAGGGTTTTAGGATTTTGAGTTTAGGGGTCTAGGGTTTAGGGTCCTTAGGGTTCCTTGTTGTAAGTTTAAGAGTACTATGCTTTGTTCCCCAATACCTAACCTTTAAACTTTCTGGTGCTTATGATTTAGTAGTAATCTGAAAATTTATTTTTTTATTCGCCTGGCTTATTGGGGAAGTAAGTATACACCAAAACCCTGTTAGAACATTAGTCATCGCGGTGCTGTAGGCAAGCAGAGTCTTCGGAGACGACGCCCTGGCACATGTTGGCAAGGCCTGGCAAGCACCGGGCACCCAGAGTTTTAGGCCTCAGTTATAGGGTTTAGGGTTTTGGGTTTTGGGTTTTGGGTTTAGGGTTTAGGGTTTAGGGTATGATGTTTTAAAAGTACGTGCCTTCAATGAGGAGTTTTTGGAGTCTCAAGTTAAGGGATTCGTGGGCTGAGGGCTGAGGGTTAATAAAAAGGGTTTCGGTAAGGGATGAGCCCGGTTGACAGGGTTCGCTCGGGACGAGTCCTGTCGCAGCTAAGAGCTCCGACAGGGCTGTAAGGGGCTAACGGTTAGGGGTTTAGGGGTTGAGGGTTTACTGTGCGCGGCTTGGGGTTTGGGGGTTCGGGGATTCGGGTGGTGATATGTGGTTGAGGCTGAGGGGAAGGAGGACAGGGGGAGGTCGAGGGGAGGTTGGTGCGTCGCGCACGCCGATCTCTTGGTCCAGAATTCTAACCAAAATCCTGGAGCTGCTTAGAACAAGCCCTTGCTGCCTTCGCTGCTCGAATTTCCCCACCACGACAACGGTGACTACTACCACTACTACTACTACTACTACTACTACTACTACTACTACTGTTAGTATTACTACTACTACTACTACTACTACTACTACTACTACTACGACTACTACTACTACTACTACTACTACTACTACTACTAGTAAGACGACCGTTGCTAGTAGTACTCAGTACTGGCAACTAGTGTTAGTATATAGGAAGGAGGTGATTGTTCCCGTTGTTACACTTGCTTTTATATTGCCGTTCAATGCCGGTGGCTCGAGCTGAAATGTCCTAAACCCAAAACCCTAAACAAAGTCCCGAAGGCCCCGACGAAAGTGCCGCTCTTCTTTCACAATACCCTGGGTCAGAACTTCACTTCCGAGGCACAGATCAGGTTTTGGGGTTTAAGGTTCAGGGTTTTCATGCGAGGTTTCCGCACGGGATATGTATTCCCTTGGACTTATATGAGAGGTCATGCAAGGAAGCTGCTTGCTCTGAAGCCACAGTAGATCTGGCCCTCCAACAGTTAATACCTTTCTGCATAGTTATTTCGTGTTTCTACTTGGAGCATGATGCAACACAGCTCACTAACTGATCGCTATGGATGCAACACACTTGCTGCGTTTGTCAAGCGCCTACCCTAAACCCTAAACCCCACCTGGTTTGTGTCATCATTGACAGCCACCCATAGCTTATGTCTGCGCCAGTCTTGGTCGACATGTGCACAGGGGTTTAAGGGTTTAAGGTTTAGGGGTTTCGGGTTTAGGGTTTAGGGGTTTAGCGTTTAGGGTTTAGGCGGTTAGGGGTTCAGGGATTACGTGGAGGGGGGCTTAGTATCTAGATGTTTTATGGACTTACATTAGGGTCCCGTGAGGGTACTTGTAACTGTACTTATACGGTTTAGGGTTTATAGGGTTTAGGGTTTAGGGTTATCTACTTGCTAAGTCCCCCCCCCAACCCTAAACCCTAAACCCTAAACCCTAAACCCTAAACCCTCCAACAAAAAGCTTAGGACTGCTAGATTCTTGGACGACTATCTGCAAACTGCGACTGAGGGTTTAGGGTTTATCGTTTAGGGTTTAGGGAAATGCCAAACCAACTAAATTTGGGTTTTCTTATTATTACAAGTGAAGAACTTTTCACGAAAGAAGTAAGGGGCTACGTGGGAAAGCGAAGCCCTACTCTACCCTAAGCCTCTAAAGCCCCAAATTCCCTATAGAACCCCTTTAGCTCCCCTTAAACTAGAGGACCCCTAAACCCTAAACCCTCAACCCTGAACCCGTGAACCCCTGAACCCTAAAGCCTAAGCCTAAACCCTAAACCCTAAACCCTAAACCCCGGAACCCTAAACCCCTGAACCCTATAAAGCCCAAACCCTGAACCCCTAAACCCCGGAACCCTGCTAAGCCTCAATCCCAAGTTGTGGCATCCGTCGGATGCCTTGGGGAAGTGGGAGCCTTCGTATGGGCCCTTAACCCTGAAACCCCAATATACCTACTATATATCCTATATATACCCTTAAGGGACCTACTATATACCCTTTTATACCCTTAAGGGACCCTAGAATCCCCCTAAGAGCCCATGTTAGGGGCCCATGGGTTCAACCTTAGATTCGGAGACTCCCCCTCAGAGCCCTCATCCCTCGATCAAGGGAGGAAAGGCCGGTTGAGGTCCCTTAAAGGGTTCCCTTAAGGGTTTGGTTTAGGGTTTAGGGTTTAGGGTTTAGGGGTTTAGGGTTTAGGGAACCGAAACCTGAGCCCTAAACCCTACCTGGAGGGTCGGCTATTGGGATTAAAGTTTCGGGTTTAGGGTTTAGAGTTTAGGAAGGGTCCCTTTAAGGGTTCCCTTAAGGGTTTACTTGGAGGGTCGGGGGATGTAGTAAGTAGATACTAAGTAGAGTTATAAGTACCCCAAAAGGGATCCAAAATTGGGATTCTGGAACTTATAAGTCTAAAAAATAGTTACTAAGCCCCCCGACACACCAAGATAGGGTTCAGGGATTAGAAGGGCCCCGGGGATAGGTTTCAGGGTTTTGGGTTTAGGGTTTAGGGGTCTAGGGGTTAGGGTTTAGGGTTTAGGGTTTAGGAGTTCAGGGTTTAGGGTTTAGGGTTTAGGAGTTCAGGGGTTAGGGGTTTGGGTTTAGGGTTTAGGGGTTAGGTTTCAGGGTTTAGCGTTTAGGGATTTAGGGGCTTAGGTCTTTAGGAGTTTAGGGCTCCAGGGTTTTACTTACAGTAACTGCTCAGGACTCATTAAGTAGGGTTATAATTTATAATTGGTGTTAGAAGTGCCCTGAGTAGTGTTATCCCAACTATAGCTTTACTAGGTCCCATGAGCCTTTGGGTTCAGGTGACTTGGGCACGTAGACCATATTTCTCTCCTTACGTGTAGCAAGGAGGACTGTTTCGCCGCAGAGCTTTCTCAATCGCGGAGATGCATACATCAAGGACACCTCACCCTTAAGCTGCCTGCTAAAGCTGTGTTCTGGCCGAGAAAGTTATGTAACCAAGCAGAACAGTGTGTTCCACAAAGATATGTACCCTAGACCCTAAACCCTAAACCCTAAACTATTGCAGCAGAAATTTGGCTACAGCTACATTGCAAGAACCCAGCGGGGGATCGGCTCTGTGTCGTTATGCCACAGACCTTCCAAAGGGCACCGTGCCGCAGAACTTCCTTAAGAAGCGCCGCAGCACACCACGTAAAACTTGCTACGCCGGGAAGGGAACATCAGTTAGGACTCTTATAGAAACCCTTTAAATTAAACGAACCTGATAGAACAAGATCTACTTCGTCCTTTTGCCTGCATTTAGGATTTACGGCGAAGGTGTAGAGTTATTCAAGGGCACTCAATGCCACTAACCCTAAACCCTTTAGCATCCAAACGGAACGTAATCGAGAGCCCACTATACAATAGAACTCCCGACAGGCCGACGTGCAGGCGGGCGGTGCTTGGTGGCTTCTCGTCTCACATCCAAGACGTCTACCTGGTAGTGCAGTAGGATAGAGTAGGCAACCTTACACCGTTTCGCGTTAATAGAATACTTGAGTATTAATAAAGATTGACAGTTTAGTTCTAGGGTACTGGACAAGTAAGTTTAACTGCTCTGCGCTTCACCTTGGGTTTTGGTTGGGCTTTGTACGTAGCGTTTGGAGGACTAACATAAACCCTAAGCCCTAAACCCTAAACCCTCAACCCCCTAAACCTCCTAAACCCTAAACCCCCTAAACCCTAATATGTCGAGGTGTCTTTTCAGTTTTCAAGAGTCCGACTGTTCTGCTGTTGGCCCAGGCTCTGGGGCTGGTCAAGTAGCAGACCCTTGTGGGTTACTATGGGGGACTAAATAAGGTTTAGGGTTTGGGGTTTAGAGTTTTTTGGTTTAGGGTTCAGGGTCTAGGGATTACCTATACTATTTTGGGGGGCTTCCTTACTATAACTGTAGTATAATGGACCCCAAAACCCTTTTCTCATTATTAAGGCCCCTAAACCCTTATAGCCCTTTAAGGAACCTTTTTAAAGAAACCCCAAAACCCTATTCGAATTATTAAGGCCCCTACGTGAGGCTGGGTTTGGCTTCGCTCTTCCAGTTGGCGCTGCAACTGCTCCTACTCCCCACTCCTTCTCCTACTCCTATTCCTAGGGTTTAGGGTTTAGGGTTTAGGGTTTAGGGTTTAGGGCCACCTCCACCACCACTGCTGCAGCTGCTGCAGCAGTCCCAGCACGACCTCCGCCACCGGACACATTGGACAGTCTGGACAGGGAAACCTGCAGTATCCTGCACTGATGCACGATCACAACGCATGTGCAACTGTAATATAGGGGCCTTAATAAT